GTCTTCCACAGATCTCTCTCTATGTACATACCATATCCAAACGGGACATCGGTGATCATGGTCTTCCACAGATCTCTCTCTATGTACATACCATATCCAAACGGGACATCGGTGATCATAGTCTTCCACAGATCTCTCTCTATGTACATACCATATCCAAACGGGACATCGGTGATCATGGTCTTCCACAGATCTCTCTCTATGTACATACCATATCCAAACTTTGTAATATTTTTCTGTCCACTTGAAAACTCGAGAATTAGTTTCGTCACGGGTCGAAAAACTTGGTGCACATAAAGTGTTTGTAAAGTAATTTGGATATAAATTGAGCCATTAACGATAAACAGGGGAGCGTAGCAAAATAAATTGAGATTTAGAATAAGTAGGGAATGAGCTCAAAGATACAACTGTCAAGATGCAATGTTAGAGGGGGCATCACAATCGCCTGATTTGTACATAATCATTAGAATAAACCCCCCATCTCGCATTGAGCTCCTTCGTCAACAAACTCTTTGTTTTTCTAACCATACTAAAGCAAGTCTCCCCAATAACTTTATCTCGCCGTTAAATAAACATTTTAAATAGTTTATTTCTCCTGTTTTTGTCACTGGTAAAATATTTTAATTTAGTGAGTTTGCGGATGTTTTCCTGTATTCAGAAAAGTTCAAGCTATATGACGTAATTTCTTAATTCATATATATTGCCAAAATTGATCAAAATGTATTGTATATAATATAATGAATACTGACAAGGAAGCAAACAGAAAAGGAAGAAGAAAAATTTCATAGGAAAAAATTATAAAAGAAAAAGTGAATAAACAAACAAGAAGAAAAGGGGGGGGGGAATTAGAGTTAAATGTCATTTGTTTGTTTGTTATGGGTTTTGCGCAAAGCTACACGAGGGCTATCTGCGCTAGCCGTCCCCAATTTAGCATTGTAAAACTAGAGGGAAGGCAGCTAGTCATCACCACCCACCGCCAACTCTTGGGCTACTCTTTTACCGACGAATAGTGGGATTGACCGTCACATTATAACGCCCCCACGGCTGAAAGAGCGAGCAAGTTTGGTATGACGGGGATTCGAACCCGCGACCCACAGAATGCGAGTTGAGCACCCTAACCACCCGGCCATGGCGGGCCTAAATGTCATTTAAAGACTTCATAAGTATATTAAATTTTAGGCCTAATTAGCCATTATAACAAAACTCAATGCTATTTATTCATGCAAAACACATCACTAAAAAGTATATGCGCCAACTTTATCGGCCCATGACTGAAGTTGTCTGTAACACTAATAATAATTGAACATCTTTGCACATTATATATGAAAAAATATCAAACGTTAACAACAGAAAAACACCTTACTACATTAAAGCAATATTTCTTATATCGCGAAAAATAATAATTTCATTTATTCGGAAGCTCAAAATATTGACCCAATTGCAGATTTTGGAGACACAATTTATTTGGATTTATGGCAGAAGAGAGATCAGGCATTAATATCAATTTATAACAAAGAATAATAGTAAAATTTCTACGAGGACGATGTTAAGAGTTTTGGATTGCTATATTATACCAATTCTCACATATGCATCAGAAAGTTGGACAATATCGCCAATCATGGAAAAGCGAATTAAAGCAAATGAGTTGTGGTTCTTAAGGCGCGTGTTGAAGGTATATTGAACAAGTCACATCTCAAATGAAGATATTTTGTCAAGAGCAGGCTGCAGAAGAAAGCTGACGATAACGTCAGAAAGAGACAAATGGATTTTCTGGGACATATGATGAGAAAAGACGAAATTGAAAGTCTGGATAGAATGAAGGAAGGAGAGACTGTGGAAGACAAAGCTTGACTTATATCAAGGGTCTATCTAGATGGATGAATGTATCGACATTGTAAGTTCTTTGTACTTCAAGGATAAGAGATCTGTGGAAGGCCATGATCACCGACGTCCTGTTTGGATATGGTATGTACATACAGAGAGATCAGTGGAAGACCATGATCACCGATGTCCCGTTTGGATATGGTATGTACATAGAGAGAGATCTGTGGAAGACCATGATCACCGACGTCTTACTAAACTCAGTGCTCTTTAACAAAACATAACTATCTTCGACATCAGTAATAAAGTATGAAGCATAAAA